CGTTGTTGGGTTCACCTGGAATATGCTTGCAAGAGAACAACACCGTTCTGGTGACCTACCCGCCACCGTACAAGTAAAGTTTGACGACCCAAGGATCTGCGGAAATTCAGATGGTATCTTCGATCTCCGACCTGAAGACGTCGTCTACAACAACGGACGCGGGGGTGAAGAAATACGGCGTCGAATGCTACCGATAGTGCTTTGCTGGGCAGTCACGGTTCATAAGGTACAGGGGATAACAGTGGACACTGCCGTAATATATCTTGGACCGGAGCTCTTTGCTCACGGACAAGCTTATGTTGCCCTTAGTCGTGTCCGAACACTCGATGGTGTAGCTATTTTACAGCAAGACGATACCAAGTTGTGCCAAGAACTAAATCAAAAGCTGGTAGCGGAAATGAGAAGGCTTAGGGATAAACTTCTTTAATATTGTTTACTTTAAATATATAATCAAAACAACAATTGCCAAAATGTATTTAGCTAATCTGAAATAAATAGCTTGAGCGAAGTGAACAATGAGGTAGATAAAAATTGGTAAATAATTTAGCGGTAAAACCGCAGGAAAACCTATTTTTTCATTTCCTGTTCCATGTCTAATTTCATTTCATTCAGTTTCACAGTATCAAAATTGAGAGGAAATGCGAGAAACAAGATTTTTTTCAAATATCGGTACTACCCAAATTGGGTACTACCGATATTTGATGGTGGGGAAAAATAGGCGCAAATTTTGGCAAATGTATTGGCTCATTTGGTCCATCTCATCAACCCCCCTAACCTCTGAAATTCATCAACATCCCAATATCCATTGTCATGGTCGATCGGTTACTCAATGTGCAGGCCTTAATTTTCAATGTCTAAGTGATATGTCAAATGTCCTACAATCTTTAAATTCAACTAGAGGCGGGATCGCACCATATAATTCATACTTGTCGAGATTGAGGAATATAGGTCAAGTTAGATTAGAATAGGTTAGGCCATAATAAAAATGTTTAACCAGTGAAAAGTTTTGCATGAAGCATCACAATTGCAATTAGTTAAAATACAAAATTAAGAATGTAGTTTCCGGAGTCAATATTTGCGCCTATTTTTCCCCACCATCAAATATCGGTAGTACCCAATTTGGGTAGTACCGATATTTGAAAAAAAATCTTGTTTCTCGCATTTCCTCTCAATTTTGATACTGTGAAACTGAATGAAATGAAATTAGACATGGAACAGGAAATGAAAAAATAGGTTTTCCTGCGGTTTTACCGCTAAATTATTTTCTCACTGTGATCACATTTCTTCATGGAAAAGTGTTCCTTTAACCGTGTCGTTCTTGGCCAGGGTTTCTGGTTAGCGATACTGTTCCCCATGCACCCCGAGTTCGTGTTGATGATGTGATGATCTCTCCTCAAAGGGCGAGGAGAAAGTCAAGATAATGAAATTTGGACAAGTTGAAACTTCAAAAGGCATCAGAAGCCTCGTACTTTTCGAGTGTAGTGTTGCTGATCAAAATCAGATTTCTAAACATGTGTCACCATCAGTCGTGTCAATTTTGTCCCTCACTTTCACTAACTCGCTCACTCGCCCAGCTCCCTTCCCACTTTGTTGGCAGCAGGAGGCGACCAGGGTGTCGGAGTAGGGGGAGAAATGGGCATGTATTTTGTGCAAGTTGCTATTTAACATGGTTAAAATTGTGAAATGAAGTCTATTTATTTTGGCATGGTTTAATAAAATTCGCTGTTTTTAAAGTTTGTTTGATTGATTGAGTCCGATCGGTGTAATATTATTGCATTGCTACGTATGAAATCGTGGAATGAAACCTATGTAATAGAATTGCTTGAATTCTATTTCAAATTTAATTTCTTTTGGCTTTTTAATCAACAATTTTTAAATAGTTAATCTGAGTTAACAATTATGCGGATTACAATCGCGAACCATTATAAATCGGAATTGTGAGTTGGCTAATTAATCTCTCCGATTAATTGACTACAACTAGAGGTTATTTTCTTCCAGCATCCAAAGTATGTATGCAAATCAGTTGTGGTCATGGGGCTATCGTTTCTGTCGAAAAATTTCTTGGGAAACAATAATAAAAATACGAAAATACGAAAAATAAAATACGAAAAATACGAAAAATAAAAAATAGAAATTGTAATTCAAAATAATTTTAGGCGATTTGGTTTTTCCTAAAAATAATCTAATCCCAAATTTTGACCTGAATACAATCAGTCAGATATCGATTACATATAATCCACACAATAGCCATCTTTATACCTATTTGCACTTTAAAACAAAGTGTATTTCAAAATTAAACCAGTTTTGGAGTAAAACTCGTGCATTTTATCTTTTTATACAAATTTTGGTCACTTTAAAGTATTGAATTATATTTCGTAAGGGAACCCTGTGATGAGATCCATTACTCTCCTCGTGTTGTGTTGAATTGTGAAATTGGTAGCATTTTCCTCGTACAAAGTGTGAAGTGAAGTGGTGATGAAGCCAGGCTTAGCTTAATAACTGGCTGAAAAGGAAATGTGACACTTTCTCTGGAGGATTGCGTTCTTGGCAAGTGTTTTGTTTGTCATGTCGACAAGTATGTGTGTGATATTTGATGTGGTCTTCAAACTTTAGAGAAGAACAAGAAAGTACAAACTAATAATGAAACGAAACACTTTTCCCAATTTTCGGCGATAAGTTTCTTGCTTTCGTGAAGATAATGATAAAATAATGAGCTCGGTAACAAATTGTTACCGAGCATATAGTTCTGCCTGTTATTAAACGGTAGAAATAATTATTCATGAAATTCGAAAATGTTGTCACTAAGAAATCGGAAAAAAGTGAGAAATTTTAATTGGGGTTTGTAAATGATGACATATTACCAATATACGATTGGTTTAAAATAAAAAATGTTACCAATTATTTGTAGTCTCAAATTATAACCGCATTTCGATTGGGGCTGTACATCGGAAGTACCTACAATTTCTATTATAAAATATAGATTTTCATTAAGTATTTTCTTAACGCGGAAAAGTTTGACAAATTTGTAAACACCAGATTCTTCTTTATTCAAAGAATCTTTATTCAAAGAAAATCTTACAAAGTTGTAACTTGTAGTTAACAAAGTTAAAATTTTATGTTATGATGCCAAATTTTTACAAAGTTTTGAGTGCAATTTTTTGAAATAAATTGTTAATCTTAGACTAGATTTTATGTACTATATTCCCGAGAGAATTATTTCTAATTCATGAGTGAATATTATATTTCGCTGTGCTTCACAAGTTTCTAGATTTTTAATTATTATCTGTAATTAAATTGAGATTTAAACTTATTACGAAATTGTGTTGAATCAGCCATCAATTTGTAAATTCGATTTATAAAATTTAGAACTAAAGAAAGCACGTGTGTCGTCTAATTTGTTTTTTTAAAATTATTATTTCCAATACTGCCAAAAAGTTGAAATTATAAAAATCTATTGCTCACTTAAAATTTAATCGTTGTTCTTCTATTTTATTAAATAGGAGAATATTCTTAAAAAAATCTTTTTGTTAAAAAAAATCAATCTTTTTCTTCCAAAATTCCGAAAAAAAATCTCACATTTTCCTCACCCAACAAGAACAACATTATTATCATCATCATTCCATCTACCACCACCACCACCAAGCCAGTCCATACCAGCGTCCAACTATGCCAGGCAACAACTTTCCCGGAGAAAACCCGGGTATTTTCTGGAGAGAAGGCCGACTGTGCCTTTACGTTGGTGAGTTTGGGTTGCTGGAGAGCCTCAAATGTTACCACGGATTGGTGGGGAGGAGGGAAACCGAGACCACGATTTCTTCTGAGGTGGCGAAGATTTCCGAAACCTTAACAGTCGGCCTTCTCTCTCCAGAAAATACCCGGGTTTTCTCCGGGAAAGTTGTTCGCCACGCCCACTCCCACCAAAAACCGCTGCCCCCAAAAGACAGCCACCGAATGCCCAATATCGGCAAGCCAAAACTACCCCACACCACCACCACCACCACCACCACCACCACTCGTTCCCCTTTTATCTCTCCAGGAACACGGGACAGGACAAGGAATTGAGGAGAAAGTTTGGAGAAAGTAGAGTAAAGAAGCACCGCGGAGGTTATGTCGAGTTCCACAAGTGGCGTAACAAGGGAGGGGATTTCTTGCGGAAAATTATGTATTTTATTCATGAAGTTATTCATGTTGATTTTGTAGAATTTTTGAAACATGAAAATAAAATGAGATTTGAAGAAAAAAATATATGTAAACACAAATTCAAATAGTGGTGAAAGTAGAAGTTATTTGCATTTTAATTAAAAATTGAACAAAAATTGAGCAATTCATTTTCATACACATTTATGAAACTACATATTTTTTATAAGAAAATCATTTATCCACAAAATCAATCCCTATCTCCCAACTCCGGCAAAGTCAAGTTAATGTATGTACATACTTCAGAAAACGTTGCTTCCTTCTAATTCCGCAACATTTTTTTTAGAAATTAAAAATAACTGACAATCAAACAACTCAAAATATTAGTTAACCAAGAGAAAGCCAACTTTCACTTTCTCAAATTTTTCTCCTCCACAAAATTGACCAAGAGAAAGTCAACTTTCACTTTTTCAAAATTTCGTCTTCCACAAAATTGTTCATCAAAATAAATCCATAAATCCTGGATGAAACTAATTCACCAAAGAAGCATGCCTTCTCATAATTCTACCCTGAACAAAATTCATCCATTCGTCCTTTCACTTTTTCGGTCTACGTCGACTTTCTCTCCACTCCAACCCTGTTCATCTGGTTTACCTCGTTGCTCGGTTTCTCTCTTCTCTCGTATAAGGCCGAGGATGATGATGATGATGAAGATACGAAAAGTTGGTTAAGTTTCGGTCGACCGCTATACCACTGCTACCACCACCATCGCCACCGTACTCTGGTGATGTTCTGTACGGTGGGGGATGGCTTTTTTCGCTTTTTTCTCATCCCTCCATCCCTCCTTTCCAAAACCACATCCCAGCCCAAGAAAAACCAAACCAAAAATCCATCTTTTCAGTCAACCGCACACACAAGCAAAACCACCACGGCCACGGGGAGACGGATACCGAACAAGGCACACCGTACGGTTAACAGACAACTTAACTTTCTCCAAAATAAGATAAGATAGGATAAGACACTCTTTAACTAACTGAGTGGGAGTGGCAGGTTAAATAAACGGCTAAAATTGAGGGAAAGTCGAGGTGAAAGGAAAAAAGTTGAGATTTCTTTTCTCTCCGATTTGAGAGGAGGCAAATTGAGACTACTTTTTGTGTGACTGAAAAAAAACTTTTAAAATTTTTAAGAGCAAAAAACTCGGAACAGCGCCAATTTTTAAAAAAGAAAGCGGAATAAATAATAAGAAAAGTGTGAAAATTGTATGATTCAAAAATTAAAGGAATCTAAAACGTGAGGCAAGTTGAGATGTGTTGAACACTAATGTGATCTCAAATAAGAGGCAGTTTGAGACTTTACAAATATTCATCAGCAGAGTTCTATCTACGGTATCTTGTCTCGTCCAAAGTATCGTCACAATTCTTAAAAAATGGTTGGCGTCGGAGCTACTGCATTTTTCCCGTTTCCGTTACCGCCGGTAAGTCCAAATTCATTTGCACATACATATTTAAAATTTCGTCGCATATAAGTATTTTCTTTAGCTAAATATTCCCGCTTTCTTCTGCATTGTATTTTTAAGTACTTTAGATTAGAATAAACACTTGAAGTTAATTTGTTAACATTGTCAATATTGTCAGTTTGATAAAATTGTCAATCCAAGACGCCAAAATTATTCTTTATTATGGTTCCCACACGTTTAGAAGTTACAGATCATCACATACTCCTCGGTCAATGATTCTTGAAGTGGTATTATGCTGCGAACAAAAAATATGAGAAAAAAGTTAAAAATACAAAGAAGTTTAAAAACAAAATAATATTTTTTTTTATTTAAAAAGAATTTTTAAAAAACTTTCAAGTATGCAGGAAAAATCAAAATTACAAAATTTTTGTAAACAGGCCATTGTTAAACAGGTACATATTTACATAAATAGATCTTTTAACGCTAATTACAAAATATATTGGCATAAATTGAAATACAAATTTAAAAAAATCTAAAATATTCTAAACTACCAAAAGCTCTTCATTTCCCTGGTGCAATAAATTTAAATGGAGCACTTGCTAACACATGTATACTCACTCCTACCGACAAGCACTCCGTTTGTCGGTCTTTTCTTTCCTCCCTTTTGTGTGTGTGATCCGAATCCGGGCATTTGGAAGTGGATGGGGGAGGGTGGAACAATATGTACAATCATTGAGGAACGAAAAGAGGGGTTCACAGTTCACCACCCGGGTTAAATAATACGCACAATACACATCCGTCATCATCCAACGTAACTAAATCAAGAATTGGACATGGCAGGGTTTTCACGCCATAAAATAGAGAATAATATGTACAATTCTGGAAATATAATTCAGAAACATGCTCAGGAAATTATCCCATTTGCATTTGTTCTACTAAAAATTTAAAAAAAAAAATAAAAACTAAGGATCTTTTAATATTTTGACTTTAAAAACGGGCATTACATTTTAAAATGCATTTTGTGTCAATATGAATGAAATTTATGGATTATGAAAAATCAAAGTATGCATAAATCGAGCGTACACTAAGCATCTCCTTATTTTTTGAAATTTTACAAGATAATTTTACAAATTACAAAAATTCAAGTGTATCATAATAATTTGTAATGCTACAGAACTTCACGTAAAAAAACGTCAATTTTGCCATTACCCAACAAAAAACACCCAAAATTTACCTTAAATGTTTCCTTCGTTAAACTATCTAGGAACAAAATCAGGATACAAAAAATGACCTAATTTTTATAAACCGACAGATATTTGAAACCCTGCCGTAGTTTTCCCTGGTCTCATATTCACTACACTTATCCCGAAGAGTAAACTTTCCCCTACTTTCAAAATCCTGCCTTGTTCCATATTTCACTCCAGTTTAGTCAAACGGAACAAAAAACCCGTGAAAAGAAAGGGAATAAATGATCCCATCCACATCTGGGACGACCGGGGGAGAAAATTTTGTAGGTTGGCCTGGGATCATCCGAAGGGTAGTTTTCAGCCTTTTACGTACTTTATTTGAGACTAGTTTGAATTTTGATATTTCACATTTACAAGGAAAAATATTGATGGTTGACTAAATGCGAAACCAAATTTTTCTGGTGAAATTCACTTTCTTAAAGAAGCATCAACTGGACAATTTAATTTATTAAGTGTAAAAAAATTGAAAAAGTGAAATTTTTAACTGCAATTTTTCTAAAATATAAAATTCTGATTTCTGATGCAAATTTGAAATGCTTATGTTTTGTACATACCATCTATCTAGTTTTTTAAAAATTATATCTTTAATTCAAAACAAATACGTAACTGGCGTTTAATACGTTCAATTTCAATTTGTGTTGTAAATATGTAAATTAAATAATATAATGTAGGTATGCAAAAACGCAAAACCGACAAAAATATATGTCTGCTCTAGTTTTTATTTTGCCCATCTTCACAAAAATTCACAAAAAGAATTTTCATCTTTGTCACCCACAATTTAAGTTACCTGTAACCGGTCAATTGATTCATAACATTACAATAATTTCATTCCAAGCGTTAATCTTGTTCATTTGAAGTATAAAATATGGACATATTCACCATATTCGGGTTGCATATTCAAAATCACAACTTTTCAAAAACTAAATATTCCAAGTTTACAAAATGTTTTTGAAATCCTTATATTGGTAAACCAATTATCAAATTCAGAATATTAGGTTCGCAAAAAGCTATAATTCGTCAATACGAATACTTTTCTTTTATATTTTTATCTTGAATTTTGATGGTTTTCCTCCAAAAAGTGTTATCTGACTTTTTCTACATGATCAGCAATTCCGACAACATTTTTTACAACTAGGAACTCGAATACATATCTCACCTTGGATTATTAGCGAACTTAATTCTTTTCAAATTTTTTAATTGACGTGCATGTGATGCAATAATGTTGACATTATTTACTCGTATTTTTCCATAGTTGATGACGGAAAGGCTGCTCAATGAGATGATAACGGAAGCCCCAGGGGGAGAAATGGTCCGAACGGGTGCCCCAAATCTGATCTGCACCGTCCTCCCGTCTCACTGGAGGTCCAACAAGACGCTTCCGATCGCTTTCAAGGTTAGCATTTCAAATTTCAGTCATTAATTTTTCGAAATTTTAAAACCTTTCTATTTCACAAAAAAGGCTTAAAAATTTAGTAAATATTCGACTGCTAATTTTAATAAAATTATGACCTCGTAAGAAAAAATATCAATTCGTTTTTCAACAACTAATTTATAAAATTTGAACAAAAACCTGTTTCGAAAATTCGGCCATGACTTCCCATTTCAAAATATAATTTTTTTTTCGTAAAAATCAAGTGAACAAATTTAACTCTTCACTTTCCCCTTTTCTTTTTACAGGTTATTTGTCTCAACGACGTCATGGACGGGACCCTGGTCACCGTTCGGGCCGGAAACGATGAAAATTTCTGTGGTGAATTACGCAATGCGACGGCCATCATGAAAAATCAGATCGCAAAATTCAACGATCTCCGCTTCGTGGGAAGATCTGGTCGTGGTAAGTGTAAGTAAAAGGCTTTGCTTACTTTCTCCCAGAAATTTTTCGTAAAATGTAACGCCATATTTTCATTTAGAAAAAAACACTACGAGATAATTCACTCAGATGTTTGTAAACTTGCTAAAATTTTGGTAAAAATATTATATTTACAAAGCTATCCGAATGAATTGACTCAATATTTTTGATTTATCAGTCTCATCGAATTCAGAATTTAAAAAAATGAATGCAATTTTTCAACTAAAATTTTCCATGTTTTTTTCATCTCGCTTTCTCCACAGGGAAAAGTTTTTCTCTCACGATTACCGTCGGCTCATCCCCAGCACAGGTGACGACGTACAACAAGGCGATAAAAGTCACGGTGGATGGACCAAGAGAGCCAAGATCCAAATCCCGTAAGTTTAGTTGATGTATTATTTAGCCGTAATATTTAGTTTTAAAAAAATGGCATAGTTTTAATAGGATAAGAAAATATTATAAGCTAGGAAATCTGGTCTACTTTTCTAGTTAAGTTGATCCGCTCTAAACTTAGTATTTGACGTCGTCATTACACAACTTAAATTTTAAAAATTTAAAAATTTATTTCCAAATTTTCAACGCAAAAATACAAAACAAAAAAATCAAATCATTAATTTTAGGAATGTTACCACAAATAAGATTTCCTGCCCTAAAATCTGATCTTTCTTAAAAGTCAAAATTTCTTTCATTTTCCCAAATACAACTTTCAAACTTCGGTAAATAATCCGTAATCCCTTATTACTTATTAAAGTTGACCCTAATAAATCTCACATTTCCCTCCTCTTTTCCTCCTCTGATTGATTACATAAATTCCAATCCACCTCAAAATAACTATTACTTTCCATTTCTCACTCAATACTTCTTCATCTCTCACCATTCCAGATTTCACTCAAATCCAATCCCCCAAACTTTTCGAGAGAAAGAGAAAGACTTACACTATTTTATTTTATGAGCCACGAGCCGCCCGTAAAAGTGATGGGAAACAACCCAGGAGCCAAAAAATCGTATGGCCAAAACGAAGCCAAAGATCAACCTCATAAACCTCGAGAAGAAGTAAACCAAAACCTAAAACCAAACCGAAACCCTGAAATGAAATAAAACCCATACATGACACAAATCAAGTTTAAGAAGTTATATAAACGAGAAATATGGCTGGCTGCCTGCATACAGACGAACTTCAACTTCACGGTTATATAAGTAACTGAGTAGTTAACTGATTTCATTCAGAATTCTATTGACACTCAGGTTTTTACGAGAATTTTTTTCTTCCTCGTCTTGGGGCACACTTTTTACTACTTTACTAGACCACTTTGCCCTGTGGTGGTGGTGGTTCTCGGCCCCATAAAGGAGAGTCATGACCGTTTTACTAAACTTTATAGGAGATTGGGAGAAAGGAATGTGGGGAGATATATGTGGATTAAGAAAATTGTGAGAGAATTTTTGAGAAATTTTGTGACAAGATTTTGAAAAATTTTAATTCTTAAAAATTTTAGGGCATTGCAAATTTAGAAATTATTAAAAAACAGTGTTCACGAAATTTCGAAGTATGCATAAAGTTCCTATAAATTAATGTATATCTGGATTAAGAAAAGTGTGAGAGAAATGATGTATTTTTAGGGGAAACTTGTAACAGAATTTTGAAAAATTTAAATTCTTAAAAATTTTAAGGCATATCAAATTAGGAAATTCTTTCGAAAAAGTGCTCAAGAAATTTAAAAATATGCATAAAATTCCATCAAATTTTTTCTGGTTTTTTGAACTTGTCAAACTACGCAACCAAATGTAAAAATTTGCTAAAGTCGATCATACTTGAATAATTTGAAGATATGAGTTTCTTGATGAATAAGAACGTAATAGATATGATTCATTCATGCAATTACATAATCCTGTATAACGCCAGAATACGTACGTATAGGCATAATTTCGAAAACTTTTCCCCATTTTTACGACATTTTTTCACCCCTACTACACACTCCTTTGGCTTCCTTGGTTTGGTTTGGTAATAATATTTATTTACGAGAGGAGCATATAAACAAGTCGAGGAGAAGTCTCGAGTTGACGAATTGTTCGAAAAAGCGACCATTCATTCCTCGTACGGTTGACAATTGGCCTCTGTCTGATTTCTTGGAGTTTTTACGACCCGTCATAAAATCTGGGGCTGCTTGCTTACTTGCTTATATGGTCTCCAGGCTGGAAATGAAGTTATTATTTCCTCTCCCATTTGTCCTGCTGTTACGAAATATGGGGTAGCAAAGTGATTTGTCAGTAGTGACTGGATGTCAATATTGGGTGGGAAAAGGTCGAGACGAAATTACGAGAGTTTAGTCAATATAATACTAATACGTACGTACTTTTACTGAATGGATACTTGGCTTGGATGGTGAGATAGAGCTAGATTTGTGTATTAGGCGATTTCAGATTTATGTATGTAGTGACCAACTTATATTTGTAAATCTTGTACAAAATTTTGCAGATCTTGGAAAATTAATTTAGAAAATTAATAGAAACTTGGACAAAGTTGGGTATTCATTAAGCAAAAAAATACTACAAGACAAATTTAGGCAATAAACAGTACACATTTTACGCTTAAAATTTACTGACCAACTTGGGAATCTTGTACAAGTTTTTAGTTTTGCGAATTTATAGATTATGGAAATTAATTTATAAAATTAGTAGAAATTTGGACAAAGTTGGGTATTTATTAAGAAAAAAAATTACCAGGCAAATTTAGGCAATAAACAGTACACATTTTAAGCTTATCTAACGTTCATTATATTTCCTGCATAGGAATGCATGCATTCATAAAATTTATGCACAATATGCGTTATTTATTACTTAGCCAGAAATTTATTAATTCAAAACTGATATTATAATTTTACTATGCCGTTCCATTATCTAATGTTTATTAATAAGTAATTCAGCAGCTTTTAAGTAATTAATGAATTTTATTATACCCAGAATCATTTTATGAGAAAATACGATCAATTAACTGCAATTAATTAATCACAATTTGTATTTAAATATAAAAATTAGAATTGTGAGATTGTGAATCCGATAAGAGATTTTTAATAATTATTTAATCATGTATGATTAATAAAATAGATGGTTCTCTCTCTACTCGCCGGGCTCCTAATTCTTAAATTTTGGATAGATAAATATTATAGTTTAACGATTTTAAGTTAATTATAATTTAAAATTAAACATGGTGCAACAAATCCTTAAAACTTTGAGCGAGAAAGCATTAATTCTTTTAGATTGCTTTGTAGGTCATGGTGGCCCATTTCCGCCCTTCGGTTTCGGACCCAGACCACTCCTCCCGCCAAACTTCCAAATTGACCCCATGAGGCCGCACGACTCCTTCAAACTTCCTCTTGGTAAGTTTACTCCCGTAAAAATTGAAACATTCTTATCATGATTTTACGTTTTTTTAAAAAAAAAATGGAGCAAATTTGGAAATTCATATTTGATAAAAATTTAGAAATTGTATATGGAGCTGGAAGCCATGCCATAATCAATTTTTTACGATTTTACTATTTTACACTACTAAAGCAACACGTATACAGGGTGGTTTAAATGTCACGCTACAATGGAAAATTTTTTAAGGGGAAAGCCCTCTAAATCTCCAATAGTTACAAGATTTTGGATTGAGATTTTTATAATTATTTTCAAAACTGATGGAAAACTGATGACGAAATTCGTAAATTATTGAATTTTAGAGAGAAAATTTCGGTAACTAATGGAAATTTACGAATTTTTCCCATCGAAAAATTTTCCATTGTGGCGTGACATTTTAACCACCCTGTACATAGGTATTTAATTTTTCGTTTAATGTGTCAAGTTAATTTTGCAGGAATGTTAAAATTATTACGGTTTCCAAATTTTTGACAACTACTCCTTGGACTTTTGTCAAGTTTTTTTTAATTTCGAAATTTTTAGCCCGAGTCAGGGCTTATGTACCCGTCATGTCCGTCTGTCTGTCTGTCTGTCTGTCTGTCCGTCTGTCTGTCCGTCTGTCTGTCTGGTTTGCGATAACTGCCGTAAAACTAATCCGATCGACTTGAGATTTTGCACATATGTAGTATGGGTCAAATGAGGAGCTAAGTTCGAAGATGGGCGAAATCGGTCAAGTGGTTGACCGGTGGGGGTCATCGGAGTGGGTGGGGTATTATGCACCAAAATTTCAAAATTGCCGTAGAAAGCTGAAATTTGGTGCAGAGGTTGATAATGGTTTCTAATGAAGGAATACAAAGTAAAATTGCAAAAATTTTCATCTCGAGGGACCTTAGGGGGTGACCCATACCGATTTTTAAAACTTATCCAATCGAGCTGAAATTTGGTACATAGGTTGTTAATGACTACCAATAGAAGAATATGAATTGAAATTCGACACATTTTCACCTGGACAGACCGTATGGGGTGACCCATACCAATTTTTCAAATTCGTCAAATCGAGCTGAAATTTGGTAGACAAGTTGGTAATAGCTCCTAATGGGACAATATGAAGTTAAATAAGAAAAAATTCTCATCTGGAGGACCTTATTGGGCGACCCAATAAGATGACCAGGGAGAAAAATATGTGTGCACCAACAAATGTATACGAACTTAGTCACCCGCGTGGCTGGAATTTACATATGTTGCGTCTAATATTACTAGGATAATATCCTGAGAGTTTTAGGAAAAACTATACACTCGTTTCAAAGTTATGGTCATGGTCAATACTGGTGACCAGCGAGAAAAATATGTGTGGACCAACAAAAGCATATGACCCTAGTCACCCGCATACCTGGAATTTATTTATATATGTTACATTGAATATTGGTAACATACTATCCTGAAAGTTTTAAGAAAACATATACACTCGTTTCAAAGTTATGGTCACAGTCGATACTGGTGACCAAGGGAAAAAAATGTGTGCACTAACAAAAATTTAGTGATAGTGGATAAATTTTGGTATATGGGGTACTAAAGGCTCGTAATTGAAGAATTCGAAGTTTTAAAAATTTAAATTTGAAAACAGATTTACGCCTGACTCGGGCTATATCAAGTCTGCACTGTAGGTTTTACATATGGGCTTATCTCTTCTGTCAAGTCTCAAAATCTCTCCTGGATCATACATACCTTTGCAAAATTCTATAAATTTGACTCATCCTACGACCTATACACATTCAAAGCATTCTTTATGACCTTTGACCTATCTCCGTAACCTTTTTAACTAGACTACCAAAATTCTAATATATAAGTTCACCCATATATTTTCAACTCTCTGTTTACAAGTTATTTCGATATTTAGGAGTTACAAACACCTGAGTAAATTTGTAAATTTTCAAAACAAATCTTTTTCTCGTAACTATTTATGTACTCATTCAGCTACGTACTCTATTTTTTACCCAAACTTTCAAACCAGACACCATCCCTAAACTTGTCATTTCTAAATTCGCACCAATACTGCATTCATTTCATTTCAAACCGTTTGAATGAATTAAGGAGACAAATAAAATGGAATCATAAGATCGACAAGTGTGAAGTGAACGTATGTATAACTCTTAAAAAATGGGCTTTTTGGCTGGGACGACAAAGTGTTGGACAAAAGACCGGAAAGGCCACCACACGGAGTGACAGGATCATCTCGTCAGCCAAAACACACGCTGGTTGCGCAAACACAAAAGGCGTCGAAATCTCTTACAACCACTTGACTCAACTAAACTATGTTCAAATCTGACTTGGAGTTAAATCTGAAGTGTTTTTTATTATGAAAACAAAGTAAATATCAGAGCAAAAAGTAGACAGAGGAGAATAAAGAATTTCGATACGGAAAATTATAGCGAGACTTGAGTCGTATTTCTTGTGACAGATTAGAAATGTGCTCTCTAAATGATGCGGGAACTGTTTGTTACCGGGTAGTAAACATTTTGAATGCATTTGTTTCATTTATTTTGGTAATAGGTTTCGTAATGTTTTGTTGGTAGTTTTGTTACCGGTGTGGTAATAGTTTAAATATTATGGTAGCAATCTTTTACCGAGAGAGACTTTGCATTTGGTAATAGTTATCTTAGTTTATTTGGTAGCTCTGTTACCGGTGTGGTGATAGGTTAAATAGCATGGCAACAGTCTGTTACCGAGAGAGAGTTTCCAATTGGTAATAGTTTACCAGTTTACCGGTACATGGTAAAAATATGAATTTCTTGGCAAATAAGAATTACATTTGCCACGTTTGCTACCAAATTATAACCAAACTGGTCCAGTTTTACCAATTCGGTAGTCATACATAATGCATACATTACTACCAGATTATTTAGTGTGTACCAATAAGACCAAACCTGGTTTAGCCAGACCACCTGCTTGATTCGGTTGGTGGGATGGGATTCAAAAGTAAAATAAAGCGTGCCAAAATATTTTTCTTTTCGTGTTAATTTTTGGGTTTCAAATCTTTAAGTTTTTGTACCGTTTCGCAAATCGGAGCAGATGACAAGGTTTATGTATTTACGACTTGGTTGAAACGCGTCAAAATTATTTATTTTTAGCTTAAAAGTCCACTGAACTGAACTGATGACTAAGACTTTCCCAAATTTACAGTTAACCGAAATGAGCGATTTTCTCCGCTGAAATATTTGTATTTATGTAACAATTTTCTAATTTACAAATAAATTTCGAGAATTTTTGGCAAACAAATTGTCCATTTGTAGCTTACAATTTACAAATTCTCTCATTTCACAATTATTAAGATGCATTTCTCAAAGTTTAATGTTTCTGTTCACACTTTCATGTTTCAAATTGTTCAACTTTTAAAATTAAATTTTCCACAACCTCTCCAATTTTTTCTAAAATTGTTGCATTTCTCAAACTGTTTGTTTGGGTTAATGTTTCTATTCACGTTTTTATGTTTCAAATTGTTCAAATTTTGAAAGTAATATTTCCACAAACTCTCCATTTTTTAAAAATTCCTCCTGTTTTTCAAAACTTTACTAATTCTTCCTCCCTCCAATTATGTAATTCCAGGTCTTTCCCCTCACGACTGGCCGCTTGCTCTACGTGCCGCCGCCGCCGCGAGTGGGGGTGGCCCCGGTGGAAACGGTGGTTATCCATCCTACCTCCAATCACTGGCTGCACATCACCACCACCACCAAAATCAGAACCACACCCACAACCATGACCCCAGCGGTGGTGGTGGGGGGAGTAGTGGACCCCCCTCTTCCTCCCTGACATCACCCCTCCTCCCACCCTCGCCCCAGCAGCAACAATCCCAATCACACGACCCCCTCTTGTCCTCCGTGGCGCTGTTAAGCAGCGGAAGCCGGTCTGGATCTGGTCACACCGTAACGACGCCAACTTCCAGTGGGAGCCATATTTTAGCGGCACTTTCAAACAATAACAACAACAATAATAATAACAACAATGGGATGAGTAATAAAAGGTCGCCACCGCTGCTGAAAGTGAGTCCGGTACACCCACTTCATAAGGGAAATAAGGGAGGAGGGAGAGAGGATGGGTCGAGGTCGCCAAGACTGACACCGGGACAAATCGGGTTTCGTCCGACGGGTCAGTTATTCTAAATTTTATATACTTTTTAAGAATAATTTTGTAGAGATCGGTAGAATTTTTTAAGTTTTTCGAAATTAGAGAAGCAATTACGCCCGAGATGGTTTTGTACCTTTGTAAACTTTAATAAGCTGTCAAATTTACAGATGTGTGAAATAGTTTGAAGACATAATTTTCCTTTTGTCCAAGGCATCTAGTTTTTGAAATATTTAAACAAAATTTACACAGTTTACACAATAATTTCTCAAAATTTTGACACATTACAAAGCTTTATCTGTAAAAAAAATAATCTAAAATTACAAAATTTCTCCAGGTGTCTCCCTCTCCTCCTCGGACTCTCTCATGTCAACCTTTGACCTGGCCAGCAAGCAGCAATCCCAGCAACACCACCCTCTCGTAAACCTGCCCTGGCCTGGATTCCCGTCCGGAGGGCCGGGTAACATCCCCGTCTCCATTTCCGGTGGGGGCCTACCCCTCCTCCCGCACCCACTTTTGTACTCCCACCTCTGCAACAATGCCTGGATGTCGTCCGAAATTCATAACGTCATGACCAAACTGCAACTTCAACATCAGCAGCATCAACTCCAATTGCAAGCCCAGCAACAAGGTCACACCCACGATCATGGTCAAGGTCAAGGTCAAGGTCGCGCCCTCAGCAGCAGTGGGGGCACGACGGCGAGCAGGTCACCGTCTCCGTCCTCGATATCGTCCGAGGTCAAGATTTGTGTGGGAAGTCCGAAATCAAGCAGTCTCATTTTACCCGCTTCTCCCACTCCGACACACAGTTCGGGTATCGCGATTTCCGCAATTTTAGGCACAAAGCAGCGAAATCAGAGGAATCATTTGATCAATGAGTTGCGTAGGGGGAGGAGTAGGTCGAGATCGAGGTCGAGGTCAAGGTCAAGGTCGAGGTCGAGATCAAGGTCAAGATCCAGGTCAAGATCGTTAAGCAAAAGCCCGACAATTTTCCCCGGGGTGAAATTCGGTATTGGCGGATTTCCTCTGTTTTCCTCGAGAAATCTGGGTAAATCTGATGTCAACGATAACCATGATAGTTTTAGGTCGTTATCTAATAATTCGAGTGCTATCAACAGTCTTAGTCCACTAATTAATAATAATAATAATAATAATAATTCCACTAAAAAGGGTAGTAGTAAAGGAATCTCGTCAACTTCCGGTGGTGGTGGTGACCAATCGAGCAAGTCGGAAGTGTGGAGACCGTATTAAAAAATTCTTAAATTTCTGAACATTTTTTACACGAGCTTTGAGCAAAAATCAACCAAAAATTAAAACTTTTATACGTAACACGATCGTTAATTATGAAAATACTTACATAAATACGTGATATTTGACAAATTGTGAACCCAGTTTCGTATACATTCGTCCTTTTAGGGTAGACATGTAAGATTTCGTTTAGTAAATATTTACCTTTTAATTATTGGTGTAATGTAGCAATTAATTCCTAAATATAATAATTTGTATCACTTAAATGTCAAATACGCATTTAAATCATGTCACTATTGAATAAAAGTATACAGATTTGTATGTGGCATCCGCGTACATAAAATTGCATAAAAAACCTCATTTCACTCGAATTTCAGTAAATTACAAAGTTTCCACTGCAAACATTAATAAGGAAAATCGAGGTACAAATCTATAGCAAAATTTCATAAATCAATTTCATAACTTTGCAAAAAAATGCGCAAAATAATTTTGCAAAACTTACACGCATCCGATTTCAGTACATATATCATACAGAATATTATACAAAATAAAATACAACTAATTAATTAATTCCATCCATTTTTTGCCTGATATCACCCCAAACTTTCTCTTAAGTAATCATCATGTAAATAAACGCACAAAACTACACATCGTGCCATAATTTCGCAAAAAATGGCAAACTAATTTTTGCTAAACTCTTTCACATTCATTTTTCAGTGAATAAATCCTGCATAATTCTACAAAATAGAATGCAATCAATCAATTAATTAATTCCATCCATTTCTTATCACCCTGAACTTTCTCCTAAGTAATCATCATGTAAATAAACGCACAAAACTATGTCGCATCCCACCAAAAATACGGTACCCAAACCCCAACCAAATCCCCTCTTGACGGGGAAAGGTTAACTCGAGGGTATTTTTTTACAACTTTTTTTACAAGTTGTCAAAAGCTTGTCGGCTTCCGTGACACGGGCTCATTTTTTTAAGCAGCCATTTACCATTTACTTAGCCGAGTTAAGTTAAAGTTAACATCATCATGTCTTTTTCCCAAGACGGGGAAGGGAAACTAAGTGGTTTGGAAGGAAAAAGAACAAGGGGAACTTTTTCCCCTATACACATGAGGAGAAAGTAATACCCGGGTATTAGTAATAGCATTAGCATGACGGCACGATACCCGTCGTCGAAGAGTCAACTTAATACGGGCAGATTAGCTGCTAAACAATCTTCTTGTTTACAAGAAAAATTGGGGAAACTCACTTTCACTTTCACGGAATAAATGACACTTTCTTATGAAAAAACAGTAAAAACCTGGGCTTTTTACTTACTTCATAAGTACTTCTTTCATCAAGAAAACCTTATAAAATGTACACCTTTTAAAAATAAGGCTCCTTATTATAACACAAATTTTAAAACGGACTTCAAAATTTGACAGTTTTCAAAATTATTTTTGAATTTCATCTTTATACAAAAAAGTTTCATGTTTTCTAAATGCAATTGTCTTATTTTATGCAGTTACTACATCCACACCTGCAGACCTAAATATTAATTTACTCATCGATAGTATTTTCCCAAAATATTTATGACTTTTAAACTTTACTATAAATAACATAGTATACAACATTTTATTACATTATGTTTATTAAATAATAATAATTTACAAATTTCAATAAGGATTTTTTTAAAACTATTTAGCTTCATAATTTTGTGTTCATTTTTTACATTTAAAAATTTTAGATTTTTTTTCACTGTCGCCTTTACTACTTGACTTGAATAATGCAAGAAAATTTTCAAGCTGCTACTTTCCCTTCGTATGCACACATTACCCTCCAACCTACACCCTGAAAAATATAGGAACAAAATTGCCACTGATTTGGTGGTTAACTGACTTGACGACAATTTTGAGAATAATGAGACTCATGACAATATTGAGGGTATTCACGCACCTTTGGTAACTACGTAAACAACGTAAAATCCGTAAACTTACAAACGTTTACAAACAGCTTCCCGTGAATTCACTTTCGCAATTATTTTCGTAAAAATTTATCTGATAATTGGAACAAAATTCCGATCATTTCCAGAAAAATTAATGGAAGATTTGTAGAGCTGCATTTATTGATATACTATATACCACGAACAGTGGAGGCTGTTCCTATAAAAATTTCCAAATTCAACCTTCCTAAATTCTAATCCTAAGTTATTTTTCGACTCCACACTAAATCTTAGCTAAATATATAAATTCAGAAATCGGTATGGGTACCCCTTCCTCATTGCCCGTCTGGTTATTTTTTGTTCATCTTTGACTTCATATTCTTTCATGAGAAGCTATGAAGTATCACCATTCCGAATTTCAGCTTTTTGAGACAAGTTATGAAAATCGGTATGGGTCACCCCAACGGGTCCCGGATGTGAAAATTTTACCAATTTCACTTCATATTCTTCCATTAGGGGCCTTTAGCAGCCTCTATACGAAATTTCAGCTCGATTGGATGATTTTGAAAAATCGGTATGGGTCACCCCGTCGGGTACCTCGGCTTGAAAAATTTGTCAATTTCAGTTCATATTCTTTCATTAGGAGCCATTAGCAACCTCTATGCCAAATTTCTGTATCGAACAATTTTTTTTCTTCCCCAAATTGAGTTTACAAAATACTTTACAAAATTAAAAGACGCCCCTGAGCTGCGTAAGTTTACAAAAGTTTGTAAACTGATTTTCCTTGGCAATTTTTGTAAAAGTTTGTAAACGTTTGTAAGTTTACCGATTTTACGCTGTGGACGTAGTTACGAAGGAGGGCGTGAATTGCCTCATTGACAAAATTATGAAGCTTCATAAATATTTTTTTTTAAATCAAGTTTAAAATTTGGTAAGTTTAGTTAAATTGTCAAGCTTCAACGTTTTATTTTAAATTTTAGAAAAGCAAAGTGAAGTTTAGCAAATATCAGATCGCTCGCGGTGATATGCAGTAGTTTTGCTACACATTGAATAATTCCTAATAATAATTGTCTCAAAAATTCAGACTTTCTACCATTTTAGAATGAGTTTCTCGACAAATCTCAATTTCGTAAACAATAATTTCTACCCTTAAAAGTAACAAATCGTTAAAAATTCCGTTATGTTACACAATTTGGAGTTTTACTATTCTTTAACTATTCTTTTACTAGTTGATTTGAGTGTATCTAGAAATAATTAGTGTTGTACAGCGCAGTATCTCGCTCAAAACATGTCGGTAACAAATTAATTATCACCAAACGGTAACAACAAATTCGACCAAATTTAAGTATGTCACCTGCGACCAATTTTTTTTACAAACGCTGTACCAAATTTTAAAATCGCTGAATTATTCCTAAAAACTTCGTTACCATCGGTCTCAATTTTGTCACCGAATTATTTAAAGTGTATCATCAAGCCCCCCGTTTTTCCAAAAAATAATAATGATAATAATGATCCCTTCATTTTTCATTCTGCCCAACACTTCCTCTCATTTTCATTGTGTTTTCCCTTCATTCCAGGCGGCTGATGACTTTCACTTCTTGAATTGAATCAAACTCTTAGAATTAAGGAGAATAGGAAATTAAAACTTCTTTCTTGCCTCCTTATCAGGAATAGTTTTTGTATAAAATAATGGAAAAATTAGCATAAAAATTGAAAGTGTGAGTTTGCATTGTTGATTTATTTGGGAGTTCGTTAGGAGGGGACGAAGGAAGAATTCTAGTTTTTCGTCTCATTGTCCCCTCGTTAAAATCCCGTTTGCTCTGATGGCGATAATCATGAGGAGATACTCACACCCTTCTTTTTGCTACTTTCTCTCCCCCTTCTTCGTCTTTTGTGTTGGTGTTATTAATCGATTTCCGAGCGGAGGAAGTAGTTGAGTGAGATCCGTAAATATTTATAACCGGGTGTTGGGTGATACTCTTAAAAATTTGGGGGGAAATTTGGTAAAAATTGGTGTAAATCAGGAGCAAAATTTTATTAATGAGAAATATGTAAGTAAATACTTAACCAATTTAAATTTATTTAGAATTATATAAACAACTTAATTGCCAACTGTACAATTTGGTAATGGAAATATCTATAAGGAACTTTTGAATAGAATTTCAGGAAATTGATAGCAAAATATATATAATTTTCAAACATGTTACCAAATTGGTAATAAATCCGTACAAGCAAAATTTAATGCAAAAGTTTTAAACAAAACGGTGATAGATTTTGTAGTGTTGAGTAACATTTAAATTACCTAAATACAATTACGGAAATGATGAAGGACTACCTAAATTATGGCAGATTTCAGAAAGAAATTAGTAAAAACACAATCGGTTCTGAACGTTAACATTTATAAAATTTTACAAATTTTACCAATCTGGTAAAATCACCGGTAAAACAATCAATCTTATTACAGGAAATTTCTAAGAGTGCAGTTTCCGTATTTTTCTAAGAGTACGCTCTATTTCACCCGGGTGGGTGGGTGGTAAGTAACGCGTCGAGAAATTTTAGGGGAGAAAGAGTTGCTCCTGTGAGGATCTGGTTGTATGTGTAACAGCTTGTGTCAGGTTGGATTGGATGAGACGTATGTTCGGGTGAGACTGGGGATCAATCAAGATCAGGCTGAGTTATTAAATCAATTTGATTTACAATAAGCCAAGCTGTAAGTTAAGGAATATGATGCATACTTTCGGAAATATATGTACGGATTGAATTCATCCATGCGAAATTTTATGAAATGCGAATTACACGAGATGTAATTAATTACAATTAGTGTAAAAAGGTAACAATGCGAATTTTGGTCGCTTCTGTAAGACTCGTTTTATTTATTTATGTATTTCTGAGATATCGGTAACTCTTAATTTATACAGATTGATAAAGTCCATTTTCTTAAGTTATTAGAAAAAATGTAAAGTAAATCGCAAACGATTGACATGAAAATAATGTACAATATATGTAAATAATTTGTTGAATTGTCGCAATAATAGGGAATCAAATGAAAATGAGAATTTTCACTACTTTATGACTTTCTTAGACAACAATTTAGGAATTTTATGATCCAGAAGCCAAAAAATCGTTACAAATAATGGATGGTCGACAGTTACATAAGTAATAATTCCTCCCTTGACATAAGTACGTATATTTCTTAAATTATCTGACCAACTGACCCAACCCACGACCAAAGATCACATTTGTTTAAGTATCCATTCTCTGTTGGACCTCTAATTTCCACTTTTACTGCCCTAGTTTAAACAATGCATTCATTATTTGCAGTAAAACATATCAAGTCAAAGTTGTCCCCGGAGAGAGTTGGTCAGTCCTTAGAAACCTAGCATTCGTCGATATTTCTCGACGACATACATACATACAGAACTTGACAATTCTGTGTACAAGCTTAAAATTCTACTTACTTGGCGTGCTCCAGATGACCTTAAACCAACCTTAATTTTGGATTGATTTATTTCTTCTTGCATAACATGAAAATTACTTACTGTATAGAGACGTTATTGTCCGTGGTACATATTTGTGTGGTCTCTGGGCAACTGTACAAATAAACCAAGTGGTTGGGGTCCACCGATTTTGATAACAATGCATATATTGTAACATTCACGTGGTAGTAAGTAATTTGACATGAAAGAGTAATGCATATTTATCCTAAAATTCCTATTTTTCTACCAATCTGAAACAAACTAAAAACAAGTCGGTCACAAAATTAAATAGAAAAATTTGTTACCGATGTGTAGATGTGACTCCGCGAGCAGTCTGCCCATTTTTTGTTAATAATACTAACCAAGATGTGAGACCGAATCCGTGGTAAATCGGTAAAAAATTAATGTTAACCTCACTAAATTATGTAATCCAACTGGACTTTCTACCTAATTTCTTCTTAATGCATTAAAAATTTATTAAAAAAATAATTTCGACGCTACAAAATTACAATTTCTCTCCTCCCCCGATCGAATTTCTTTCCCACCTATTTTCAACCCCATTTTCATCACCCTTTTACTTACACTATGCACTTATTACAATTAGCTAACAAATCTTAAAAGCGTAACCATTCCGCCTAATGCGACAAGACCCGGGCGGGACTGGACTATGTCACAAATTCTGGGCTAAGATCACTCTCCGAAAATAAAAGCGATCTTCTTATCAAAGTAAAACGGTAGAGTGCTTCTTCCTCCGAGACACAAGTCGTCAGGGTCGTGCGGAAAGGATGAGGGTAATTTTGACCCCAATTTATTATGTAATTTCCAATAGGATGTATTTAAATATGTGGATAATATGTCATTAAGATGGGACTTTTTGCGTGTTGGTATTAAAATTAAAATACAAATAAATGCGGTAATAAACATATTACCGAGGAGAGACTATTGTAAGTACAATTTAGAATAGTGTGGTATTAATTTTGCATCGAAATGGTAACACATTTTCCCCTCGAAATTTAAATTTCTGACCAATCCGTAACAAAATACGGTAATATTTTGTTACGGAACTTGTCTATCTGTCTGTCGTCGATGGAATGGCGACATTCTTCCCGCACGACGCAGCACTTTCTCCTGCTCACAATTATTAAATGAGCATCTAAAGCATCTCTTAGGAGAATTTCCAGCGAGAGGGCAAAGGTTTACGGAAACTAATCCCTTCTCCAGTTCACAGTTCATGAATATTCATTTTCCGACCGGATGGAGTGGAGTGGACGGAGAAATCCTGTCCTTATACGAAAAGGCCATCCATATGCAACATGGGGGAAATTTTGAGACAAATTTTTGGTAAATTGGCCATTTCATCGAGTTTCTTCAAGTCGTGGAATTTAAGTGCACTTTTAACAACGCAAAATTCGAAAAAAAATGGGTGCAAATCGATTCCCAAAATTTCACCCATATTTTCTAACAAACAAAATTTTACTTAAAAAAAGTACATTACTAATTTACCTCCATTTCATTGCTCAGCTAACATTCTAAAATCAACTTTTCGAAAAAAATAGCTCTATTTCAACGCCGGAAAATGTGCTTAAAAACATATTTACACTTTTAAAATAATTCAGATGACGCCTCCCTTTTCGACAAAATAACTGCTTTTCTTTTACGAAATGTATGCAATTTCCCTCAATTTTTGGCCCTTATTTAATCCTCTCTTCTCCACCTTCTCCTCAGCTTTCTTCGTGGACCGAGAATGGTGGAAAATGTGTTTGCTGATTGCTCTCGTATTCATCTCATGAGTGAAACGACGAGGAGGAGGACAACCGTGTTTTAACAAATTAATTAGAAACGGGTCCTCCATTTTATTTTGGAAGGACAGAATCTACAATTTGTATAATAAAGGGATTTTAACCCGGAGAAGAGAAATTTCCGAGAAAGTCGACTCTATCAAAGTCTAGGAGATAATGAAGTTTAATGAAAATAATAATTAATGAAACAAAGAGGAAAAGCCGGCTTAAATAGGAGAGGAATACATTCTAAATACGCTGGGGTGGCTGGCGTGGCAGGAATTACGAGATCGCATCACTACTGTTGTACTTTTCGTGGAGGAGGAAAATGAGACGATCGGTTCGGTAAGTTTATGGTATGGGCAACAGATTGAAGGTTCGGGTTTCTTTGGAGTTGATCCGATTTGCTTGCTTGATGTGTGCTTCGTTGAAGTTGGTTAGTTGTTATTTTAGTTTGACAGGTGTATATGGATGGATTTTAAAGTGGGGATGGACAACTTTTGAGCAAGACAATAATTAGGACAAAATGTTATTGGGGACAAAGATTTGTATTTTTAGCAAAAACTGGACACGACTGTATAAAAATGTTGCATTTTTGTGGTTTTGTGAAAATGATCTGAAAATGACGTTCCATGTTTAGAAATAGACAATAATATTTATATAAAAATTGAGGTAAAACACAAAATTTTTAACCTAGACACAATTAATAGACAAATCATTACTTATAAAAGCCTGTAAATTTCTTGATTTCAAGAAACGAGAGTAAAATGTACATACACCACGGAGGAAAAATAAACAAATTCCTTCGACCAGTTTTCCGAATCAAATTAGAGTAAATTTTTACATAAATTAAATACATAGTTGCATTTTGTACGACTTATCTACCATAATAGAAATTGAACAACTTTTACAAATTAAATTACAGGGTCAGGTTTGTATGTCGTGCTAATTTCCATCCTCTCCAAACAAACATGTTTCCAAAATTTGCAAAAATTCCGTTCAATTTGCAATGTTTTTCCCCGAAAAATTCACGACGCACATCTTTAAAATACGTATTTATTTCTGTACGAAACCTATACTTTGATTCCTCCCTCGTCTCATTCATTCATTCCCTTCGTGGAAAATATTCTGTACGAAAGCAGTCGTATTTTACTAAACTCACTCACTCTCAACCCACGCCAGCATGAGAGTGGAAAATACTTTGGAAGAAGAAGAAGGCTTTAATTACAATCTTTGTTAATTACTTAATGTCTGCTAATGAGCACGCTGTGTATTCCATTTCATGCCCAGCTTTGATCTCTTGGAACGAAACGAAACGCAATACCACTCACCCAGGTCGGAAATATATATATATTTCCGAACTGCGCTATCACTTCTACAAGGACGAGATCTCTCTCTTTCTGCCCACTTTCACTAATAATAAGAGCCAGAGATGAAGTAAACTTTCTCCAAGTGTAGGATTTCTGTTGCTACTTTTTACACGAAAAGTTGCCCTTTTACTACTTTTGTCAGCAAGTAAGTACGACTTTTGCGAGAAGAGACGAGTACTAGTAAATGCCAACACTCGAGGGTTTTTGATCTAATTTTGGTACTGAGGAGGAGAGAAAACATGAATTAAATTAAGATGGTTTTTATAGGCTGCTAATTTTATATGGAGGAAATTTTCGGACAATATTTTTAGATTGTGATCATGAGAGGGAATTTTACGATATCAATCGCTAGAGTTTATTATCGTTTAGTTCTATTTTTAAAACAATAGAATATTTAGCATTTGACCTCATCAGTCGACACGCAGCTAAAGATTTTATTTTATGAAATTATGTTTCCCAAAACGGCAGGAAAATTCAGACGACAACACCTTACATTACGTTTTTGCCGAACAACGAATCTATTATATCTCACTTTATAAATACATTAAGCAAATTTACGTTTTAGGCGTCGAAGTTTGGGAGTGAGAGTTAATTTCTTATTAACATTATGATTTAGGAGCTTTATGCAATGATAACCAGTTGACCCCATCGACCCTCAGAGAAAACCTCCATTTTCATCATCGTAATGTCAACTAATGTCCAATTTTAACTCTTATTTGAAACCTATACACATGATTAAATAATTGATCCAAATAACACACATAAATTCATCCCTAGAAAAATTTTATTTCACGATTTTTATGAAAATACATACATTATGGCATGAAAATACGTATGAAAATATATTGGGATCTTTTTTACACTCCAAGTTTTCGTAAATGAGTCTCCTTTACCGGATAAGATTACATAGAATTTAGTACACAATTTAAGACAAAATAGGTCAAAATTATGGTATTTTCGTCCATTAAACAGGGTTCACATATCCACCGAGCAAACCCCGACCCGCCTCCGACGACATGACCACATTTCCGTCCAGGTATCCCTCCATCCTTTGTTCAAACTGGATCCTCGCGGCGTCCTCCTTCTCCGCCTTCAAGTCATCTTTCAATCCACCCGAGATCAGAAGTGTGTATCCGTAGAGGACGAAGCACCTGGATAATCGGTCAAACTTGGTTATCAATTTGTACCCAATTAATGGATAAGCAAGTAATTTCTTACACCGTCCCCATCCATAAAACTGTGGCGTTCATGTCCGTCAGCAATGAATCGATAAGAATAGCGGTGCAGCAAATCAGAACAACTGCTCCGTACCAGCACCAATGGCGACAACTTGAGACGAGGCCCTGGAAAAAGGAATTTTAAAAATTTACATATTTTTTTGGCAAGAGATTTTAGTTGTGTGATTCAAAATTGTTGTATTTTGTCATGAAATTAAATAATTTTCGGGAAATGGGTCAAATTTTGGCTAAATTTTCAGAAATATAGACAGAAAACCAAGATATTTCGGCACTATGGGGTAATTTTGGTTGAAGTTATCAAATATATGCAAAATTTCAGTGTTTTCTTTCTAGTTCCATAATCTTTTGCAAAGTTGGACACTTTCTCCGTCAAATTTCCACATTTTTACAAAATTCCCCTCAGAAACTTTCCCGACAAAAAAATTTCTTACCTTGGACGCTCCTCTATAAAGCGTGACTGCCATCCCGACGTCCAACACAGTAACGAGAAAGCCACCTCCGTAGTACAGGAACCACAAAGTGATCCCTTTATCTGCAAATCAACCCAAATTATTTAAAATTTTCCAGAAATTTTAAATTCTCAAAATTCCCTTACCATTGTCGTCATCATCGAGGTTTGTATACTGGTCCCACGCCTTGTCCCAGTCTTTCAAGATCGTCCCAGCTTGGAGCGCCAGGCCAAAGAAATCTTTCATCTGGATCGAAAATAAAATACAATTGTGAAATTATATCAAAGTTTTTAACCCATTTTTTCTGAATTACGATGAGAATCAAGGCCATCAATTTGGCCCCAGTTTTCAGCGAGATTCCAGCAATGCATGGTGAGTTGTTAGAACTGCAGAGTTGACACATGATGACTTCGACTAATTTCGAGTCGAGACGGGGGCCAAATCTTCAGCGAAGGAGGAACTTATTTTCGGAAATATGTAAATCTGCAGGATTTTGAATTTGAATTTGCAATGAACGAGAATTTGTGTTTAGTAATTTTGAATAAAAATTATTGTCATGTCGTTTGTTGATTATTATGAATCTGAAATTTGTGATGCTTGTTGTCATGACCTGATGATTAATATTTTTGTAATATGGAGAAAATTACTAAATTATTAAATTCGATGTCACTGCGCACGCCATGACCCCACGAGAGTTTCTTATCACCCCGATTTACATATGTTTTTTTAGTTACACCGATTTTTGCTGCCCGTTAAATTTCTGAGTGAGCATTAACCGGATTAATTTTAATACATATCTAACGCTAAACATATATGCAAAATTTTCTCCGTACCTAATCCAGAAAATTAATTAGTTAGTTAGTTATTAATTATTTAGTAATTAGGTAGTTGCCAATCTCAAATTAACATCTCTTGGCGTGTCTCATTTTATTCTAAATATATTCCATTCATGATCACTCATTTCTGCGGTTTTCGGGGATTATTTCTTGATTTTATTGTTGAAAATTGCTAGCTTTCAATGAACTACTGTCATTTTCATCAGGCAAGAATACAAAGATATCGGATACAAATCTAAACAATACATTCCTTTGACAAGTGAAAAATGGGAATTAATTGTCAGTAAATGTTACTTAGTCACAGTTAAATTATAAAAAATTCAGTAGTGTTGAGGACCAGATTGGGTTGATGTTGACTCCGCTGGATATGTTAATTTTGCTCGTTAACTTTTTAATGTGCAGGGCTTCTTTAAACTTTCTGAAGAATTTTCTGTTTTCTGGGACAACGAGTTTAAAGGAATTTGGGTCCAGTTGGTGGTCGTTTTCTATCATATGAGCTGCTACAGGCGAGGTTGTACTTTCTCTTCTGATGTCATTCTGATGTTCGGCAATTCTGACCATAAAATCTCGTTCTGTTTCACCGATATAAACAGCAGGACACGAATTGCATTGTATACTGTAAACTCCTGCTCTTGGCTTTTGCAATTTCTGTTTGGCGTTACAAACAATTGATCCAATTTTCGGACCAGGAAAGTAGCCAATATCTACATCCATTTTGTTTCTTAAATATGAAGCGATTTAAGATGTTACGTCTCCAGCCCAGGGAAGAATAATTCTTTTTTTGATTTCTTCATCTTTTTTGTTGTTGGGAGGTTGTAATAACTTAATTTTCACTCTTCTTAATCTGTCATTGATTAGTGATGGGGGATACTCATTTTTCATAAGAATGATTTTGGTCAACTCAATTTCCTCTTTCACATGGTCGTCATCCGAAAGTCTGATGGCTCGAGTCAATAAGGTGTCAATTACTCCGATTTTATGTGCACGTGGATGAAATGACCGGAAGTTGAGGTACTGACACGTTTGGGTTGGCTTTCTGTATACGTAATGACCTAATGGAGGAATCATTTTTAGAGTATATGATTATATCTAGAAAAGGTATTTTTCCGTCAATTTCTTCTTCTACTGTGAATTGAATAGAAGGATGAAAACTATTAATATCTCTTAGTATTTTATCTTGATTTCTTCCTCTGGCTATGCACAGTACGTCATCCACGTAGCGTCTCCAAAAGTAGATAAGCCGGTTATTCTTAATTTTGGTTAACTCCAGTTTTTGTAGAAAAAATTCTGCTATTATTGGAGATAGTGGTGATCCCATCGCAGTACCATAGTTCTGCTTGTAGTATTGGTTTTGGAACTGGAAATATGAAGAGGTTGTGCATAATTCTAGGAGAGACATGATACAATTGCTGGGTAATGAGGTCAATTTTTTTTAGATCTGGATATTCTTCTAATCTCTGCTTGATGTATTCAAGAGTCTCTGGAATTGGAACCATTGTAAACAGTGAAGTGACATCGAAAGATACTTTCTTATCTCCAGGTCGAGATCTCGTTTTCTTTAGTTCTTCAACAAATTCTGTTGAGTTTTTTATGGAGAACTCATGTTTGGAAGCGACTTTTGTTAGAATGTTTGCTAGGTATTTAGACAATTTGTAGGTTGGAGAGTTTCGGTAATCAACAACTGGACGTAAAGGGATGTCTTTCTTGTGAACCTTTGGGGCTCCATAGATGATTGGTGACCTTGGGGTTTTTTCCAATAGATGTTCTGGGAGAAGTTTGAGTTCCGTCAGTTTGTGGCACTTTTCAGCTACTAATTTGGCATATAGTGGAGTTGGATCATGATTTAAAATTGTATATGGTCCTGTTACAATCATGGATGACATTTTTTCTATGTATTTGTTTCTGTCCATTATGACAACAGAATTTTCTTTGTCAGCTTTTGTAATGTAATAGTGATTTGATTGAATTTCTTATCCAGGCTTCCCAGCGTTGTTTTGTTTTTTCTTTTTGAATGTTTTGAGACATTATTTTTGCTACCCCAGTCCTGATTTTATTTTTCTGATGATCTGTCAGTTCTATATCCATCATGCGAAGTTCTATCGTGGCAGCAGTGTCGCACATTGTGTAACCAACATTTTTTACTGGCAGTGAAAAGTTTAGTCCCAAGTTGAGCAGTTGTTCTTCAAATTTTGTGAGGGGACGAGATGACATGTTGTTGATGGTAGGTTTGCATAGTAAGTCTTTATTGGTCTGATAAACTTTGTTGAAATATTGATCCACATTTTTCTCCATTAAGTTCTTGAATTTCTCCTTCTGAGTTTGGCTTATTTTTAAGTGGACGATATTCCTCATTGTGTTCATTAAATTACAGAGCCAATTCCACAGAGACGGGATTGATGAACGAATAGTTGATCTTAGTTTTGCAATATCAGTTTGAACATGATTTGATTTCGTATAGTTGATATTTATCATGCAATTTAGTAATCTTGATTCAGTGTGTTGTTGCATCTTATTCATTTTGTCATGCGATCCAAATCTTCTGGGAAATTCCTTGAGTTGTAGTCCTCTTGGCATTACATCATGTTTCTTACAGCGTCTCAGGAATATGATGTGATTAGTCAAATGAATATCTTGTTTATATGATGACTCCAATTTCTTTATATTGCGGATAACTTCTTCACTTGCTTCACCGCGAAGCTTTCTAAGGATTTCGTAGAACTTTTTCCATCCTCCGAGAATATTATGATCACTCATTTCTGCGGTTTTCGGGGATTATTTCTTGATTTTATTGTTGAAAATTGCTAGCTTTCAATGAACTACTGTCATTTTCATCAGGCAAGAATACAAAGATATCGGATACAAATCTAAACAATACATTCCTTTGACAAGTGAAAAATGGGAATTAATTGTCAGTAAATGTTACTTAGTCACAGTTAAATTATAAAAAAAAAAATATTCCATTCACGTTAAAGAAATCGTAACTTCGTAACTTTGTAAAGTTCCACATTTGCGAAAAATATACTTAATTTTAACAAAATTCATTTACAAAATAACGCATTTGACCTATAAAATAAATTACAAATATAGAACTGATTTGCACCCCAATTTTCTTCCTTAATCTTTGTAAACTCATGGAAAAAATTTGTAACCTTAAAATTACATAGTTTACCAAAGTCCTCCCGTGTGAATTGAGCTTATGCATTTCTTGCATCATTCCGACATAAGAGAAAACCGAGCAAAACTTTCTCTATAACCTTCCCCCAGAAAGAAAGTTATGTATTTTACTTACTTATTTCCCTCAAACTTCTCTCTCTCATCTTATTACTTACAAACAATTTGGAAATGAAAGTTTACTTTATGTTCACTTTAGTAAATTAACGCTCATCCGAGAACTCTGACTCTTATTCCAAGGGTAACAAGTCGCAAAGAAAACTTGATATTAAACTCGGTTTCCATTTCTTCTCGGCTAGACCCCAAGGCTCCCCATAATTATTTATTGTGGATTTTCGCGTGTAATTCCGTCCATTAAAGTAATCATGTCGGACAAATTTGTACAAGTCGGTGACGAAATTGTTACCGAGAGTGTGCACCTATTATTATGAAATTACACCGCATTGGTAACGATTTACCAATAAATAAATTAATTACCAATAATTATAAAATAATAATTTACCAATAAGGGAAGTAACGGGTAGAAAACCATGAGTACAATGAATGTGACATGATTTTTTCGTTATGTATATAATCTTACATGATTATTAATCTTCCACTGTATTGATTAAGCACAAAACGTCGTGCAGATGTACTGAAGTATCTAATAATTATACAGGTTACCTAAAATTATTTTAAAAAAATACAAATTGACGAATTAATGTGACAAACTTACCGAAAAACTAAAAAAGTAAGCAAGATTTATTTTATCGAGAGTAAAATCGTCTTACCAGATGGCAAAATTAGATAAATTGAGAATTGTATATATTTTTTGCGATTAGTTTGACGCCAGAGTTTGATTTTTTTTAGAGTTTGATTTTTTTTAGAGTTTAATAATTGATTTGAAATTAGGTTTTGGGGTTTGGTGGTGTCATCTAAAAATAAAAGTGTATTTTTCGAATTATGCACGTCATGCATCAGGCTAAATGCCATCTCCCAAAAACCTTATAAAGGACAAGAAGGCAAATTAATTTCAACAAAAAAAGTTGATTTTTTTCTTAACATTTACTGGGTCATAGACACACAGCGAGTTGTTCACTTCAACAAAATTAAAAACACTGGATTTATTTATGTACATATATACATACATACATTTTTATAATTAGTTTCACCTAAAAGATAAGATAAAGTGCTTATCTGTACGTCCGAATGGCACGCATCCTTTAAGAGTTATCTTAAAAGGGAAGGATATAAGGATTCTTTTACTCGACACAAAATTAGCTTTAGTCCACCAAACCAAACCACTTAAGATTATGAGATTTTTCGGTCAGTTATTTATCATCGCCCAGCTGCATGGATTTCGTCGTACATGATTTTTAATAAAAAATGTACTACAAATTATAAATTTTTATCATACATTTAAACCTAAACCGGACGATATGATAAGTGACATGATAAGCGACCCCCTTTACGTCGATAAGTGTCCCCCACCTTGCAAAATGAGACGGATGGATGGCAATTCTTGGTGT